GTGGAGGATCCCGGCCGAGTGAAGGTACTTCAGACCTGGACGGAACACGGGCTGGTTAGAACCGCACCAGAACCGGACCCTGGAGGGTCTGGATCAGAACCGGACTCTGACCTCGGAGGATCTGGTAGAGGAAGACCTTGATGTGGTCTGTGGTGAGCGGCTGAGGAGACACGATGACCTTGTGGAGGTCGCTCTGCATCAGCTCCGTGATCACGTATCTGCGGGTCAGCGGTTAAAGAACCCAATCAGAACCGGGTCGGTTCTACCAGGATGGAACAGGTCAGAAACCAAAGGATACATCTCCTCGAAGCAGTCGATCTGCGGAGGCTGGAGGATGTCCAGAGCCGACAGGACCTGCAGAGAGAAGGCGGAGCATTATGATGGGTTCCAGCCGGAACCTGAACCAGAACCAGAACCGGGCCTTACATTGTCGTGCTTGAAGAAGCAGAGCATCCTCAGCTCCCTGAAGACCCGCTTACAGGAGACCAGGTTCTGGAAGACATTGGGCATCTTCTTCAGCGCCACCTTGCGGCCGTCACGCGGGTCAGTTACCGACCTGAGGAGGACTCGAGGATCAGAACTGGACCAGAACCTTCACAGCCTCCTAGCGTTCTAAACCTTACCAGACCACTCCAAAGGCTCCGTATCCGATGGGGCGGTCCGGTTCCATCTCCGCCGGGCTCGGCACCTCGCTGGCCGGGTTGCTGTAGGGCTGAGGAACTGCTGCGCCACCGCCTCCGCCCCCCAGGGCCGTGGGGTGACGGGGGGTCCCGGCCGGGGCGCTGGGTCCGGTCAGGCAGGGCGTGGCGCCGAGGCCCGTGGAGGGGGCGCCGCAGAAGAACTTGTGGCCCAGATCGGAGCCCGGAAACAGATCCCCGCAGACGGTCTGCCGGCCGGCGCCGTGGAACGCCATCGAAACGACGAACAGTCCAGGGAGCGGGAACGGAACCGAGCTGCTGATGCTGGACCGGATCAGAACCACAGGAGGAACCGGTGCCGCTCGCTCAGCATGACCCGATGGCTCCCTGCAGGCAGACGGAAACCACACAGACCTTCAGACGGACTACCAGAACCAGGACGGTACCGGAACCAGGACGGTACCGGATCGACGATACCAGATCCAGGACGATACCGGAACCAGGACGGTACCAGAACCAGGAGGGTACCGGATCCAGGGCCGGACCAGCTTGGTTATGGGAGCTTTTCCGGGCCTGCTGGTCTCAGGTGGTCTCTGACCCGCTGACCAGAATCGATGTGGACCGGCGGCCATTTTAGGCGCCATCTTTCACAAGTTCTCTAAACAGCAGGAAAAACACTTCCAGAACCAGAACTCTGGACTTTTGAACCTTCATGATCTTCTGGCTCCGTCTGATGACGTCAGAGGACTGGCTGGTCCAGCAGCAGGTTCTCCTCCTGCTGCTGGACCAGCCAGTCCTGTAGAACCGAACCGATCAGAGGTCCAGATCATCCTGCTCCTCAGAGACCCTCACCTGGACCCTGGTGGTTCTGGAGGACCGGACCTGGACCCTCCGGGTCTGATGGGTCTCAGGTCTCCAGACGTGGATCCGGACCCAGTCTGGGTCTAAAGATCTGCTGATTGGACCGGATCAGAAGGTCCTCCGGAACCACGGAGGTCCAACCAAACCGGACCGGAATCCGGATCGGTTCTGCGCTCCCGGTCCGAACCATAACCCGAAGGCTCCAGGAACCTTTGTCCGCTCCAGGCTGCTGCTCCGACCGGCTAACGCGGACAGAGAGAAGCGGGTTTAATCCTAGTCTCCAGGTTCTAGCAGCCAGGAAGCAGATTATAATCTGGAAGGTTCCTTTAGATGCTCGTTAGCTCCGCGGCTAACCAGCTGTTCAGGGGACTAGTTAACCCATCCCAGGCTGTGACCCACATAACCATCCGCGGCGACCTACTTCACATTAAACCCAAAAGAACCAGAACCAAACCAGAACCAGAACAAGAACCGACCTGACTGCTGTGAACGGCTGATGACATAGCAGATAATCCGACCTCTGGGGGCTGCAGAGCGGCGTAGAGGCTCCGCTGCTACGGGAGCTAACCGCTGCTAACTGCTGCTAACTGCTAACTGTCCGCCATGGCGGAGGAGGCTCAGCCTGCAGCCTGGAGGAGGAAGTCATCCAGCGGGGGCTCAGGGTTCGGGCTTCCCTTCAGACCGGCCCAAATCTGAGATGTTTGTCCCACTTCAGCTGCAGCTTCAGCCGCTGCTAGCTGGTTAGCCGCTAGGAGGAGGAGCCGGTGGGGGAGGGGCGGCGCTTAGCCGCGCTGTAAACAAGGGTGGGGG